TGTATTTTAAGGAGAGTTAAAACTCTACAATTCAAATGACATAATTTGAATGCAACTATATTTTTAATGCACATTGGTAAATGAAATATTTTTTTAAATATATTTTATTGATTTTTTCACAGAGAGGAAGAGAGAGAGATAGAGAGCTAGAAACGTCGATGAGAGAGAAACATCGACCAACTACCTCTTGCACACCCCCTACCGGGGATGTGCCCGCAACCAATGTACATGCCCTTGACCGGAATCGAACCCGGGACCTTTCAGTTCGCAGACCGACTCTCTACCACTGAGCCAAACCGGTTTCGGCAGTAAATGAAATATTTTTTCAGTATTTTGATTTCAGATACCTTATCTTCTTTTCTGATGAATTTTCACTTAATTTTTTCAACCCTTACCACTAAGTTTCTTGATAGACCCTTCTCTCTTCATTACCCCCGTCAAGATAAAAATCTGTAAAATATTTAATAGCATTAGGATTTTAATAATTCCTATAAATTTCAGACATGTTTTCCAATTTTCCTGTAACTGTGGGGTCTCTGTTTCTTTATCTATAAAATAAGCAAAATACTTGAATCTTTCCAAGGATGAAGGATAGGATAAATAGATATTTATGAAGAGTTTATTTTAGAGACCCTATAAAAAATAGTAGCAGGTTTTTTTTTTAATTCCAAGGGAAATGTTAAAAATATTTTTTCCAAGTAAGTAGTTAATTTGTTTTTTAAAGGTTCACATTTTTTTCCTGCCTCACTACTTTATTTTGTCTTAACAGGATAATACACAATGGCAAAATCTTCCTCCAAAGATAGTATAGTTTTAAAAAAATATGGAAAAAAATTAATTCAGGAAATATTCTATCTGCTTTCTGCAGGCAGATTCCGGGGAAATTTCTTGTGGCATGAGCAAGAATAGCCAAAGGGAACTCTGGATCCTGTGTCTATGGTTGAAGCTAGTGGGGAAAAATGACTTGGCAGTGCACAGAGAAATAGCAAATGCGTTCCTGGGTTCCTTTGTGGCTTAAGCACTCAGACAGCGCCATCATACAGTGAAGAAATGTTCCATGCTAGCATGTCAGTGGCCTACAGTGAAAGGAATCAGCATTAGAATAACAGGTAGATATGGACCCTCAAAACGAGCATATATTTCAGTCTCTGTTTTCCCATTCACAGTTACATCAAGTCTGAATTTAACCCAGGTGATTCATTTCAGTCATAAGGACTGACAGAGGATGTATTCCTGCCATAGGAATGTATTCACATGTACACACACACACACACACACACACACACACACACCAAGTAAGGAGTCGTGGAGCATCCATAGCCAACTTAATCCAATCAGAACAAGTGATTCCTCTTACACTTCTCCTTTCTCTTCCTGCATGAGTTCTTTCCCCTTGAAAACACAGCCAAGGCCCCAGAAAGCTCACAAATATGGTGTGCTTCCATCTTAGGAAGCTTGAGTCAACTTATTTTCTAAGGTACTTTTTGGTTATTGAAATCCTAATGGAAAAATCATTATAGTAGTCACTTTGAAATGTAGTAGTCAGAGGAGTTACATAAACTGTATATTTTGCTTTTATTGCTAGAAAACTGTTGGCTTTTATTGCTGTTCCTTTGCATCATGCATGCTAGATAGTCTGTGGAACTGATGGCTTAAGCCAAAACGTTGGTGAGCATCAACTGTGTCTTTGTTCAGAAGCTATATAGAACTGTGTTCCAGTAGACCACGTCATCTCCATGACACCCGTTGCTATTATCTAGTCATGCTTATCTTAAAGATTTGTTGAGAGTTGTATTTTGTTTGGAAACTTTGTAACTAGAAAAAAAGAAAATTAAGAATTTAAAAAGTTATTTAATGGATGTTTTAAAAAGCAATTTAGAGGATGTGATGGACTGTTTCTGTATTCATTAAATAAAATGTTATTTATTCTCAATTAATTGTTGGGCTTGTTTTGTTTTTGTTCCCTGACTTAAGAGTGTGAGATGGGTAAGTTCTTGCTGTCAGGGGTTTTCTCTCAGCTCGGGTATTCATTATGAAATAGCAAACCAAACGCCCGTGTTAATGCAACAAAATGGTTGTTGGAGCTTGTATCCATAGTGTATTCATGATCAGAGAGAAGGGTATACATTCTGAGAAGATAGGTCATATGTTTATGGTCTTACATGCACTTTGAAATTTCCTTCACCTCCTCGGTAGTAAAGAGAGATATCTTTAGTGGGGCCCAAAGAAAACATAGAGCAGAGCCTCGCCAAATTCAGTCCAAAAACAGCACTTCACTTTCTTTTTAATGTGTTTTTACTGATTTAAGAAAGAGAGAAACACTGATGAGAGATATCTATCGGCTGCCTCCTGCGAACTCCCTACTGGGGATTGAGCCCGAAATCCCGGGCATGTTCCCTGACAGGGAATCAAACCGTGGCCTCTTAGTTTATGGGTTGACACTCAGCCACTGAGCCACAGCGGCTGGGCAGCACGTCACTTTTACTGTAAGATGGTATAACTTAAGTGAACTGGGCCTTCATTGTTGAAACCTGCAGCTCTCTTAACCACAACCCAAACAAGGGCTATCTGGCTCATATCTAGCAGCAATTTTAGATCTTCATTAACATAAAGGACACCTCATCATCTTAGGAACTGGCTGCATTGGCCGTTGAGAAAGCCTAACCCTTTTAACATTTACAAATACATAGAAAGAATGGTGATGAGGTTAACGGTGTCAGAGCAGGTACGGTTTAATTAACTGGTTCTCAACCCTGAGCCCATTAACATCACCTGGGGAGCATTTAAAAAATATCTATGCCCAGGCCTCACCTCAGAGCATAGAAACAGGCAGCTGAAGGCATGGTATTGAACAGAAGCATTCTCATTCCTTTGGGGGAAGGAGAGGCATTGGAATAGAATCCTATCATTTTAATTAAGTTGTTCGATTTCATTAAGAAACAGCTGTTAAGTTAATAACCATAAAAGAAATATTTATTGTTTATAGAAGAGGCCTCTTTTACAAGATATTTATTCAGTCCCGGCAGGGGGATGTGAACACAATATATATATATATATATTTTACACTGCTTTTATTCATTCTCAAACTCTACAAATTTACTGGGGTTATTGATGAAGGCTTTTAAGTCTAAATAATTAAGCTATTGTACCCACACAGTGAGGCAGCAGATGCTCGGAGCCTTATCATTAGTCCACTGAAAGTGGAGTGTGACCAGAAAAGGGCGCTGGCATCCTCATTCCCAGAACTGCATTGCCTGTTGGACAGTAGCGTCTTCGAAGAGCTGTTGAGGCTAAACATTTTACTCTTTAATTTGCAGTTCAGAAGCAAAGTCCTCAACCCTCTTCCATTTCGTCCTACCAGACATCAGAAGGGAAATTTATCGTTAGTCTCTCAATGGATTTCTAGGGATACACTTGTGATTGTGTAAATTTAAATTTATGTGCTGGGGAAGACACAGTCCTTACCAACCAAATGGATTTTGATAATTAGCATAACTAAGAACGTAAACATTTTAACAAAGTCTCTCTGTAGATACTTTGCAAATTGAGGGTTGTATCTGATGTTAGGCGTTGGAATCCATACCAAGGGTTTAGGGGATCTCGTTTTTGTTGACTTGTGACAAGGTCCAAAGGTAACTTAAGAATCCTACTTACTCTAATTATTAGCAGGACATTCTCCCAAATGCATTCGGTGCTGTTGACCACAACATCCCTCTTTACATTAAGGTTTGGCTTATTCGTCTAATGGGCAAGCAAATTTATAAAAGTAACTCAAACAAATGCCATGTGTATTCTTTTGTTCCCCTCTTGATTAGCCTTCATGGTAGTGAAGCTCTTATTGCTCAACTTGTGCTGATTAAAAGGAAATTACTTCCAAAAAGAACATTTTTAAAATTCCTCTCAGTAATAGTTTGTATGTGTGTGTGTGTATGTGTGTGTGTGTATATATATATATATATATATATATATATACACACAAACAGGAATGAACAATGTATATATATTGGGATATTTGTAAGGAGTTAATAGTAATGGGCTTAATATGGAAAACAAAATATTGAGGAACTGTATAGTTACTTAAAGCTAAATATTATTTTAATTAATCATTAAAAAACATGAAAAATCTCTATTTTCAAGATTTCAGAGAAAACTTTCACATGAATTATGTGTACTAGCCTCAATTTGCCTTTTTTTTTTTTTTTTTTTTTTAAGGAAGTATTACAAAAGAGCACATTTAGCACTGGTGTGATTAGATTTAAATATTCCACATCTTTGCTCAGGGAAGCACTCAATATCATTACCCCCAATTAGGCCTTTAGTGCCATCAGGGAACTAGCAGAGCACCTGGCACGAAGAACAGACCCACGTTTTTATCCATATTTTTACAAAATCTGTATTATAATCATGTATACACAGTTTTTAAAAATACAGAACATTCACAGCCATGTACTCTGGGGGGGGAGGGAGGAAGAGTCTACTTCATGCATGCGCACACAACGCCCTAAGCAAAAGGCATTTACACGACAGGAAGGTAGCTGTGTGTTAAGCATATGCAAGGAACGGATACTGTAACTTCACCCGCACAGTACAAACTTACAACGTGTAAGGAAGTGATCCTTTCTCCGAGGACAAACGCTGCAGGATAGCTTACTTCTATTTTTTTACTTTAGATGGTTTTCCCTCCGAGTAGTCCAAAATAAAAAATAAAAAAAAGGGAGAGGAGGGGGGGAATTATTTTCACAGCAATCAAAACCATTCACAAGATCCATCTATGACATCTGCAAAATACTGGTAAGAAGGGGGGCAGGGGGGAGACAAATCACCGTGTCCATCGCCTAGGGATGCAAAATCAGGTAAACCTGAACGTTGGCTCATTTTTATGCTCAGAATGCATCCTTGGTCACCGAAAAGGCCCTGCGGATTCTGGTGAAAGGGGAAGGGGGAGGCGGGCTCCGGGGCTCGATCCCGGGCCAGCACCCCCGGCGGCGCGGCGGCGCGCCCTAGCTGGCCATCTGGAAGGGCTCGGGCTGGAAGCCGAAGAGCCGCTGCCCGTAGGGCTCGCCCTCGCCCGGCGGCGGCAGCTTGGCGCCCGCGAACGGGAGGAAGGGGTCGCCGCGGCCCAGGGGCTCGCAGTGGAGGTGCACCCAGTCCCGCTCGGCGCCGAAGCGCTCGGCCTCCGCCAGGATGCGGGTCAGGGCCATGATGTAGCTCAGCGCCATCTGCAGCGTCTCGTACTTGGACAGCTTCTTGTCCTGGCCCCACTGCGGCACCACGCGGCGCAGCCGGTCGAAGGCCGTGTTCAGCCCCTGCATGCGGCGCCGCTCGCGCGCGTTGGCCGCCAGCCGCCGGCGCGCCGCGCTCTCCGGCCGCCCGGCCCCCGCGCACGCGCTCTCCGGCCGCCCGGCCCCGGCCCCCGCGCACGCGCACAAGCTCTCGGGCCGCCCGGCGCACGCGCACTCGGCGCCGCCGGCGACGCAGGGGGGCCGGGCGCGCGCCCCGGCAGCGGGGAGGCCGGGCTTGCAGGACTTCATCCCCCAGCGGGACGGAGCGGGTGCGCGCGGGCCGGTCTGTCTGTGCAGCGACTCCTCCTGGCGAGTAAGTGACACCCGCGGCAGCAACTCGCGTGGAATCGGAGTTCACGGCGCGGGGCGCGGGCGCCGCCTCCTGCGCTCCCGGAGGGTAGCCGGCCGGAGGTCCGTCTCTTCACGCGCCCGGAGTGAGGGGACACGCCGAGGCCGAGGAGAAAGTCATGTTCCCGGCGAGAAGGTGGACAAGAGGAGGGAGGCTTCCTGGGGCAGAACTTCCCGGGGCAGAACGGGGTGTGGGGAGGCTTTCCCAGTCCCCTGGGAAGCCCGAGCCCCTTTCCCGGCAGGACGGTGGGCGCTCAGCCGGGGCGGGAGCGCCTCCTCGGCAGACGCTGAGGGAGGAGGGATGCTGCTGCATCTTGGAGGGAAGAGCATTTATAGCGGAGGCCGAGGAGGGAACAGGTGGTGGCAGGTGGGCGGGCGTCCCTTGGCTTCCATCTCAGCACCTTCCTACCCTGGGAACCGCGGGGGGGACGGAGGGGAGGGGGGGGGGGGGACGCACAGCAAAATCCTGACATTACAGCCCTCGTCTGTTGAAGTTTCTCCAAAGCTATGCCCCTGACAGGAGCGCACCATCTGGAGGGGCCTGGCCGTCCCCAAAAGAACAACAAGGTGGGGGTGCGGGGAGAGCTTGGCCCATCTTTTCCCACATCAGCGGGCAGCTCCCCTATCAAAAAACTTGGCCGAGGCTTTCAGTTTATTAGAAGTCATTTGCATGAACGATGTTGGTCTTGGAATGATGGGCTGTATCCGTGTAGCAGAAGAAGATTTAGCTTTGTCTCGAGATGTGTGACAGTTTTGGATCATGCTGATCTAACGTGTTGACATTTCAATTTTAGCTTATGAAGTTGGGACAAGTTAGCATATGGCAGTCCTGGAATTTTACTGTGCGAACCGTTTGACTGTTTTCTGCAGAATAATTTGTTATGACGTATCGAAAGATGTTAATGATATGTCAAAAATGTATATTAGTCTCATTATGTCATTGGATTGCGTGAGTTGGGATATGTAGGCAAATTAACTCAGAATTTATACTCTTATTTCTCCTGACACAGGTAAATAAATGTTTTGGGGACAACCGTTTAGGATGCTAGTCCCTTCATTATTTAATTTGACATTTAAGTCTAATAAAACTAACCATGATGCACATATATGTGCAACATGGAAACATCTAAGTAATTTGTGAGATTTTTTTAAAAGTAGCTCCTAATAAAAGGGTTGTTACCCCCCAACCCACATGTCATAAAGCTGTAAATATTTCATACTACTTGATGTTTCAGTTGTGTCTGTCAGCTGTCCTCAGGAACAATATTGAAGCACAATTTCCACTATTGATAATGATGCACTGATTTATACAGAGAATCCATTCGCTTGATTCTCTCATCACAGCTTCTCTCTAGCTCTTAAGGAAAAGTAAAGTGGCAAAGAAACCCACTCCACATAGATTCAAGCCCAATTCTGGATTCTAAAGGAAGACCGATTTCTTTTCCCCTTTTGAAATACGGGTTTGCCAGGATTATTCTCAGCCACTTTTATTTAATTACATTACCAACAAACTCTTACGACCAGGAGTCTTTTGACTGGGGCTTGCTTCCCCCTCATTGTCGCAGAACGGAACCCCACTGTGCCTGCCCTGACTCCAAGTCCAGTCTTCCCATAAATAGTTGATTAATCCTCAGCTGAAGCCAGGTCAGTGAAATGAAGTTGAGTAAGACGAAGACAATAGAATGCAATGGGACATGAATGATCTCCAGCATGGCAGCTGCTGAACACAGACTTTCGCATGGACCCGCTCCGCTCTGCTCCTCTGGGTTTCAACAGTCTTGGTCAGGAACAGTTGTCCTGTGACAGGAAACATTCTGTTATTTAGTCACCAAGATATCGAATATATTTTTTTGAGTTTTTATGGAAATCTTCCCTATGAATTCTTTCTCCTGTTCATTTACCTCATCCCTTTCCCCCAAAGAGCTTCCGCTGTGTTCATCTTTGGGATATTTCCCTACAGACTGAGCACTTACTCTGGACACTGGTGACCAAAGTGCTAATGAGATACGTGATTTTGCAGGCAGGCCGTGTAGTCAGGGTTGGTGAGATTATAGTCTGTGCACCAAAAGAAGCAAAAGCATACCTTGAAGAGAAAGGGAAACGTAGCAAGCAGGATGCACACAGCACAGCTGTATTCAAATATAAGCTAGCAGATATCTATGCCATGAACTTGATCCAAGGATAGAGAGCACTGCTGCAATAAAGGGTCCTAGAAAGCACATAGTAACCTATTTCCCAATGGTATGCTGAGGGACACTTGCTTAGTACTATAAAGATTCTGGAGAAAAGAATTCCATCGTCAAATAAGTTGGGAAACATATTTGCTGTCTCTTGCTTGGGGAGCCATGAGCAGAATTGGTACAGTCAAATTTCTGAGATGTCCAGAAGTAAATAAGCCCATTGACTCGTGTTTCCAATACTTTCTTGAACACAGGACCTTTCTTTCCCCCCTAGGAAGGCCTAGTAACCAAGTTCCTTGGGACACGCTTTTTCCAAACTTGATCTAGGACCTCCCATTTATTTTATGGAGGAGGAGACCGAGGTCGGAGACGAAACACTATGCTCAAAGGCACTGAGCAATGGAATGGCTGAGTTAAGATAAGAGGTCAATCTTCTGTGTCCTTTGATTTTAGAGGTTTTAAAATTATGAGGTCACTTCATACTAGCCCTTCAGTTTACAATGGGGCCACTGAGATCCACCAGTGACTTCCCAAAGTCAAACAGGTCTCTAGTAACAGTGCCAGGAATAGAATTAGAAATTTTGTGCTTAAAGGACAATGCCATTTATTTTATACACCTACTGTCTAGCACAGTGCCTAGAAAGTAATAGGTAATAAATGACCCAGGCTGAATGGCTGGAAAATAAATTAGATGAATGATAGATAGATGCTGATCAGAATGAGTACATTCCTCATGAAATAACCCACTTGAAGGACTTTTATCCCCTACCTTGTAGAGAACACACACCGGCTCCAGATTAGGAATGCAAAAATGGATTCTTATCAGAAACCCACCCATAGCCATTTGAGCCAGAGGAACGTGCATGTCAGACCCATTTCCTCAGTGTTTCAATGCTGAGGGCATGACTCTGCCAGCTGAATTGGCAGTTGCTGTATGGCTGGAGGTTGGCCAGAAATCAGAACTGGCAGATGGAGATGGGAGAGCGGGGAAGACAGGAAGCTTACACCTGTAGGAGTAGAAAAACAGGCGATATCTTATTTGAGAGGAAAAGATCAATAGCTGAAAATTATTACATAAAAGGTATAGAATAAGTTCAAGGGCAAACATTCCTTTATTACCCAAAAACCATATTTAATTTCTTAAAATGGAAACTCTCCAAATAAACACAGTTAAAATAAAGAGAAGAAAACACTTGGCAAAAAAAAAAAAAAAAAAAGCTCACTCTGAAATTTGCAGAGAAAAATATGGAAAATGAGGAGCAGGGCTCCCTTCCAGAGGGGGTGGCAATTGTGGGACTCGGTCCCTGAAGACTCAGAGGTAAGCCAGTAAAAGACAAAGGAATGATGAAGCTGAGTTCCACTTGTATTTCATGAAAGACCACAAGAGCGAGGTGTAAAAGTTCTTACCTATAATAATAAAAGCGCAATATGCTGGTTAGATCAGACAGCCAAATGACCTTCCAGAAGTCATTCCAGATGTCCTTCCAGAGGAAGCCGAGGCAAGAGCGACCAAGGCAGGGGAAGTTAGGGGCAATGAGGCAGGCAGGCAGGCAGAGTGGTTAGTGGCGATCAGGCAGGCAGATAGGCGAGCGGTTAGGAGCAGGTGGTCCCAAATTGCAAGAGGGATGTCCAACTGCCGGTTTAGGTGGGGTCAGGCCTAAACCAGCAGTCATACATCCCCCAAGTGGTCCCGGATTGCGTGAGGGTGCAGGCCTGGTTGAGGGACCCCCCATCCCCTGTGCACGAATTTCGTGCACCGTGACTCTAGTAATTTTATAATGTGCTGTGAAGTTAGTTACAAAGGGACAGAAAGGAAAGGAGGCACGAATTGATCTCTGTTCCCTGCCCCTCAGAGATGCAGAGAGATCTCAGTGGAGGACAGAAGCTAAGAAGAGTTGGAGACTAATAACGAGCCAAGAGGAAGATGACAAAGATGGGAGACCCGGCACCAGGCCCAAGACTTAGAAAGTACAGGCTCACTAGAGGGCCCAGTGGTTTTCCAACCCCCAGTCACTTCACACTCTGTGTGAGAATTCTGGCTTGGCAGTCAGACGTGCCTGGTTTGGACTCTGCATTCATTTTTCTTGATGGTGGAACTTAGCTTCCTTTGAGTATCTGGGCTAAGCTGTATCTTTGAAGTCAGCTCTCCATCCTGGATCCCCTATCAACAAGCTGTATGCTCTTGCAGAAGTCACTTCTGCTTCTCCATCTGCAAAGTGGAGTGATAACACCTACCTCCCAGGGCAGGGGTGAGCATTGACATGGGAGTGTACCTGCAAAGGGCTCTGCCTGGCCCCTCAGAAAGTCACTCCTTCAGTGACAGCTAATAGTGCGCATTAGGAATAGTTTTTACAAAAGAAAATGAACTCATTGGTTTCTGCAGACTTAGAACTCAAGGGATAATTTTGGTCCTTTTACACAGTAAACTACAGTTGGCCATGATGCGAATTCCAATTGTGTGATCTTAACTTACTTAATCACCCCATGCCTCTTATCCTATCTGTAAGAGAGGGCTAATAATACTGTAGATCAAGTCTCATAAAACTGAGATGAGGATTGAATTAGCTATCTTTGTAAAGCACTTAGATCTATGCTTGGCATCGAATTAAATCCAATATAGGTGCTTGTTCAGATAAACAAAATGACTGGTTGCCATTATCCAGGATACAGACTAGCCATCCCTCCTTTAAGCTCATTTTCTGCTGTATTTCCCTGTCCACC